GGAACTGATTTTTTTTCTAAATTCTAAGATACCCTTACTGCAGTGACGTCATTTAGAACTGTTATACAGTCCTGACTGATTTGGTCAGTTCTGCTGACAGTTCTACGATTAGAACTGATTTGAACAGTTCTAACTAGAACAGTTTTAGACAGTTCTACCCTAGAACTGATCCTGACAGTTCTACCTAGAACTGATTTAGTCAGTTCTACCTAGAACTGATTCTGACAGTTCTACTTAGAACAGTTCTAGGGTAGAACTGTTCTAGGTAGAACTGTTCTAGGACAGTTTATAACACTTCTATGACAGATTATTCTGATAGTTCTAATGAGAGGTTAGAAGTGATCTCCACTGAATAACAAATGGAGCAAAATAGAAAAGAATCCATGCCTACCTACATGTATTTCCAATTAACGCATGCACATAAAATACAGAAGAGACATAGGTCATCTGAGCAGAAAGTAACACTTTCGTTTTTCTATAGCCTCTGGATGTATTTTAAATGTAACTATGTCCTACAGTCTAAATTTACCAAATATAATTCTCTGACGTACAAGGTATGGTATTTGTAGATTTTCCTTCCATTCAAAGTACATTAAGTATATAAATGAAAGAATAATTTATAATAAACCAACTAAATTTATTTTAAATTAGTGGAAAAAATAACAAGTTCATACATGTTCTCCCCCCCCCCCCCCCCCACCCCCTTTTGATTTGAAAAATTTCAGGCACACAAGTTCATATAAAAGTCAAAATTTTATATAGTAATAAACAATGGTAATTTTAATTTATCAAATGAGTGTTCATTTGCTTTAAATGCATTCTAAATGTACATGATATAGTAAGGAATTTAAAAAGCAAATTTCTGCAATATTTTATTTTTCAGTCCCAAATTGTGTTTTTTGAAATAGTTGGATTAAACATATTACATCGTTAAAAAATTATACATGGCCCTATTGTCTTAAAATAAGTCGTATTGCCATGAAACTTAGTCAAAAGTCTTACAATTCCCTGAGCTTAGGTCATGCCAAGTTTTTAAAATTGGTCAAGTCTTTCTATTCTATAAGTTCCTGGTACACAGATCCTCTATTCATATATACATTGTACATGTTTTGGAGTTTTATAGTACTACATATATATAACAAATATCATCGGTCACTTAAAAGCAGCGCACACAAATTTCGGTATTCCCTTTATTTCCATTTGTTCTAATAAATCCTAAAATTAACTCATCATAGAAACTTATATGCAATGTCCAAAACAGGATTTCCATGGCCACTCGTCCAAATAATAAAAAGATGACCATGTGATATTTTGGGAGGCCAGGAGGATTTTTTTGTATATTGACAATTCATTTTGATTTGTTGCTTCGCATGCTAATTTCTAAATCATTTTCCCCACATCCGAAAATCTAATGGTCATCTCATTTTGACTTTTTGAAAGGTTATTTTTTTTTAATCGCTTGACTCCTTCCTACAACGTCATAAAGCCGAAGCCATTTTTTCGGCTGGACTTCGAGAACTAATTTTCCTTTCCAGCCAGACAGGTTATTCCACTGAGACCCACTTTCACTGAAGGCTAGATATGTTTGCACACATAGAACTTCCTAACATTTCTTTGCATATCACTTAATATCCAAAATGAATGATAAAATGTCAGGCTGAGATAGGACGACCCAATTTTAACTTATTATTCCGATTTTCCATGTTCGGCGAATATTTAGCTTAATACTCATTTTTGAAGAAAAAAAAACATGCCGTTAAGCATGTTATGTGTGAATCGATGCTTTAATTTTGTTTAGAATGAGAAGACTTTGCTTTTTAACAAATACTATCATAAACATTTTCTGAAAAACAATTTATTTAGAATTAGAATATGAACAATTGGTGAAGTGAATATGCAATTATTTTTCTTTTATACTGTATATACTATCAACTACAAAAACATTAGGTTTTTTGTTGGCGTCAATGTCAGATTTGTTTGTATGTTTGTCTGAATTTTAAAATCATTTATGTTTGTATGTCTGTGATGTATATTCAAAAGGTTTTGGCTGCTAGATCCCAATTATTGTCCCGTTTATTAAATATGCTTTAAACAACTGTCATAAAAGTAGGGGGAAAGGCTAGCTATAACCCCAGGTTTAACCCAACACTTTCTTCGGAAGATGCATATTCAACGTCAGTAATATGACAGTTGTTTTCCATTTCTCCCTTTGGCTGATGTAGTCGAGCGTTTTGATTATGTCAGGTTTAATGGACTTTCTAATGTCATGAATATACTTTTGAGTTCGGTATTTTTGTTAATAATTTTTACTTTATTGTTGTTCTTTCTTATACACCAACTCCGACAGTGCGACCTTGAATTTGTTCCGGTCATAGATACTAAAGATGAGATGCGGAAATATAAATAGAATATAAATACCTATCTGTTAACCTGTCACCTTTCGAGGGTTGATAAAATTGAATGACATTTAATACCATGTGAAATGGAAAATATCAACATCCAATGCTCCGCTAATGAACAATAAATCTGAGGAAAACTTGAGAGAATGCATTTGGACAGGGTTATAGTTGACTGCTTGCTCACATTATTTAAACAGAATAATAAGCAAACATCAATTTTTTGCGGTATTGAACAATAAGCATGATCATGTCGAGGACAGCAGACAGATGATATGTCACAGAAGATATAAATTGCAGACCATCTGTAAACGAGACATAGCTTATTTAGCTATGCCATATGCCATATCAAGTTTATAAATAAAATTTGATGATATTCATACAGAATTAAGGAGAAATTATTTTTTCATTTGTACCAATATAAATATTAATTTTCATCATGATTTGGGAATAAGCAAAATTAAACCTAGAAAACATTGTTCATTAAACTGTTCAGATTTATGTAATCAAACAAAATTCCTGAAAAATGACAAAAAATACATATCTGTTACTGCAGTTTAGGAATAATGTCTCACAGATTTATAGCTATTCCTTGTTCAAATGCCAAATGTGACCCGTTAATGCTTATTTATTAGGAGGTAAGCTTATTTGATACTTGATAGATGCATCTGGTCTCGCTCGAGGTTTCAAATGAATTTATGAGATTTGAACACTCGTCAACTATTTTCGAATCTGATAAAAAGGCTAAACCTTTCATATTTTTTGAATTGCATGTACCAAAATAATAAATGAATATAAGAAAAGAGACGAAGTGTACAGATAATAATTAAGTGGTCAACTTGAGATACATACTATGTTAAATTTACTTACTCTGTCATATTTCAAAATAGGTATGAAAGATAATTAGACAAATAAAGGCAACAGTAGTATACCGATGTTCAATAGTCAGAATTTGATTAAGCAAAATCGAATCCGGGTAACAAACTAAAACTGAGGGAAACACATCAATGTTAAGAGGAAAACAAGGGAATAACAGAAACACTGAACTACAAAAAAAAAGCAAACGCCAACATACATAGAAACGGACTGTCTGATAACAAAACATTCATAAGAATATAGTATCCTATACGACGATGTCCTACATATTTTTTTATATAATACTTTAGTCTTAACCATTACAAACCGTATCTTATTCTAACTAAGTTTTCATGAGAAAATAACCACGTGCAGATGATTGTAAGAAGGTATATTCATATAAAACATTTTCGACATGAGCTACAAATTCTCTTATCATTTCAAATGCTGTTTGGGTAAAATATATCTGTGTGGCTACGTACACATGCGTGTGACTTCATTTTGAGAAGAAGCAATATGCAATCCATTAAATTATCGACATTGAAAATAATGTACTATTAAAATGTATCGTATTTGTCATTATTATTTGTTATTACTTCATTGCAATGCAAATAACGTCCTTGTATTTGTTTCACTACAATAAGATGGTAACAAAAATGAAAATAACACATATGATAAATTTCGTTCGTCCGAAAAGCTTTTCTAGATTTACTATCAAAAGTAATTTAAAATTTTAAAGGAACAGTAGAAATATAAGCTTATTCAACAAAAAAGAAACATTGTTTCCTGACAAGTGTTGTTTACAACTATAAACTTTATCAATCAAATTTGATTGTTACAAGTAATTTTAACAAGTATGACTTATGATGTATTATTAGTTTAATGTGGGATGCATCACGTGGTGGTACCTGTTGATCATTTAATAACTATGAAGAAAAACTTAAAATTAGGTCGATAAAAGTTTGAGATTCAAATGGCTCAAGATTTGCTGCATTTGTGGAATTATTTCCATTATGATGAGATTGGATCAGACAATATGGCATTGTAATATTCTCAATCATGAGATATCCACACTATCTGCAGTACGGGCACATATATCTTCAAACGTAAATAACAGTATTGATACCATTCACCAACTTGTTCCAAGAGATAATCTACATATTGAATCAAAGATAAAAAGCTAAAGTTGTAATTGGTTCCATTTCAAAAATTGTATTTGGAACTGCCACAGTTAAAGATGTCAATCGCCTTGCACGCCATATGAACACTTTTATCACGAAACAGGTATACATTAGCCAAATCCATGGCTGATCATGATGAGATGCTGTAATCCTATATGTTTACGGCAGATCAACGGTTTGGAAACATTGCTTCAGAAATAGAATGATAATCTCGGGAAGGATATATGTTATATGGTAACTTTTTGCATCACTTCGTCTTAACTAACTTATACAATTTACAAATAAATTGATGGACAAAGGATAAATTTAATAATTTAATGACGAATTGATTAAAGAAATAAACATCTCGATTTTATTAACATGCACAGATGTGTGTATGTAAAGCCTTTTGTGTTGTAAATAACTATTAAGTGTCAATGGATTTTCACAAAGACGGATTTGTTTTTTTTTTAAATAATGCCTTTGACAAATTAAAGAACGTCACAGCTGAACATAGTTCTTAAGCTTTTCTTACGTAACAATGATTATTTCGATCTATGTGAAATCAAGTAATAAACCTGTATTGTACCTCACCTGGAAACAAAGTCACATGACTTTGGTATGTTTTGTCGCTTTTGTAGTCACTTGCAAAGTAACCTTCAATTAATAAACTTCATTTTTGTTATTGCCTGTCTATTTCTTGGTGAGTACACATATTTTAATATTTCATTAAAGAGAAATTAGATACGAATAAAACAAAAAAGCTTAACATATGATTTTTATTTCTTCAAACATTTATCAAGCGGATTATAGAAAAAATATTCTGCTATATGCAGTCAATTTGGTTCAATTTTGTCAAAATTATCTTAAAAAACATCGATTATATATTATTGGCTTGCAGGTCAATAATTCAACACATTTAAATCCGTATTCATGGAACCTTTTAATTTGACCTTTAGAACGTGCGCATGCGTCCATTATGTGGTTTATTCATTAAAAAGAAAAACATGTCAACATTGAAAAGTAGAATAAGGGAGCCACCATGAATAACCATTGACTGATCCGGTCTACACAAATCATTCTTATACACGTAAAACTATAATTTACATCTATTTTTAACCTACAACAATAAATTAAGCAGACCTAGAAAAATCCGATTACACTGCTCGCTATTTATTCTCGTTTTATATTCATATTCAGGAAAACTTTATATCGGGTGATATGACCGTTGGCAGTTTTCGGAGGGCATCTCGATTGATAATAAGGTGGCGTCTGGTTTAAAATACACCAGAAATGTTGATTCCTTAGTGAAAGCCCATGAATTTTTAATTGTTTCTTTTGGACTTTTTGTAAATACTATATTAGAGTTTTTTGTCATATTGGTGGACAGGAATTTTACCTCTGATTCCCGTTTCAGAAACTTTGGTAAATATTTTCATCTCTGAATTTTATAGATATAGAAGATGTGGTATGAGTGCCAATGAGACAACTCTCCATCCAAGTTACAATTTATAAAAGTAAACCATTATAGTTGTTATGTCCTCTATCATTATACTATAAGTAGCGCGGCATTGTCACATACTCTAAGTGACATTAATGGTTTAAATAATCAAAAGATTCTGCAAGTAACAAAGTATATTTCCCTTTTTATGCTTTTATCTTGCTTTTTAAATGTTCAATAAATACGTTTGAGTGAATAATTTCAGTTAACATAAAACGAAGTGTTCATTGAGGGAATGTTAATATTCAATGTGTGTTTATGCGTGTAAAATGGCAAATTTATTAGTCTAAGTCTAGCAAGGATATTTTTTCATTTTATCCGTGTTCCTTTATAAATACAATTATCGGTGAAATACATTATAATGGTTATTAGTCTAGTCAAATATAAAATTACATCCCATATTAAAACAGCAATCTCAAAGTAATGATGTAACAAACCAAGTTACATGGGCGCAGCCATTTGTGAAGGAAACATTGACTGTCCATGGCGTTCAAACACTAAATCCCTGGAATGTGTTTTAATTGATTTAAGTCTCTGATGCATGATTTTGTATTGTTAATTGTTTTTGGCCTTTAACTAGCTTTCAGTAACTGCGGGTACTCTCGAATCGTACTTTCGTGTTAATTTGACCTGTTGACACAATTTGTAATGCATTTCAGTAATTCTATGTTTACTTGTTATGTGTTATATCTCGTTTCACTATTTTACTATGTACCACCTTTGCTAAGTATTTAGTATGACGATACATTTTCACTTCTGTACTCGTACTCTGAACAACAAATTTATTAATTTAAAAAAAAAATGTTTACTTCCGTACTCCTAACAAAAGTATTATCACATTTAAATTTACCTGTGTACGTTGTTTTATTTAACGCCATTTTGTCGCAGGTTAGAGTTGTCTTTTTGACACTCTTGCTACATCTTTTTTATAACTACCTGTAACGTTTATGTTATATAGGCACATTCGTTTTCATACTGTATTTATATTGTGTCATAGGTCAAACTTATTCGTTCAGTGTATGTTTACTTGTTTTTTGTTTAAATGTCTTTTTGATCGAGTTAAACTATTTCAATTGATATTCTATAGTGTGTCTATTTTTATGTTGTAATGTTACACTACTCAGGTAAGGGTGAATGTTGGCTTCTGTTGAAACGTTTAAACCCGCTGCATTTTTATGCACCTGTCCTAAGTCAGGAGCCTGTTGTTCAGTGTTTGTCTTTTGTTGGTGTGGTTCATAGGTGTTTCTCGTTTCTCGTTTTTTATATAGATTATACCGTTGGTTTTCCTGTTTGAATTGTTTTACACTAGTCATTTTGGGCCTGTATAGCTTGCTGTTCAGTGTAAGCCAAGGCTCCGTGTTGAAGGCCGTACTTTGACCTATAATTGGTAACTTTTTATACATTGTGACTTGGATGAAGAGTTGTCTCATTGGCACTCATGCCACATCTTCTTATTTATATGAAATGGAGATAAAATCGCTGGCTATATATGATTGGTTGTTATATCATTTATATATCTAACTGCTGCAAAGCATTCGGAGTAATGTTTCGTCTTAGTACACATTTTTATTTTGACCATAATTCAGTTATATTTTCTGCGGAATCGCTAGGCATGGTAAATACTAACCAAAATTCACCAAGAAAAGCCAAGGGACCTATATAATGTAAACAAACGTGCAAGGGTAGGTAAATTAAAGTTACTGATTCTTAATTTTAAGAAAACATTTAATACAACAAATTATTTAACAACTATTAAGGATAATTTTAATTAACAAATGGGAACGCATGGAAAATATAAATATCATGGCTCTATCAATTCACTTATTTGTCACGTGAGCACTTGCTCTGTTTTGATTGGATATCAATGTCAAGATCCGGTAAACATCGGAAACAAATTCGAAAGTTAACTACCTTACGATTAATAATCAACATATGGAATTTTATTTGTCAACAGTACGTTACGTAATAAATACAAAAAACAACGTGCATACGGGACTTGGTTTAGTATATACAGTCGACTCTCGTTATCTCGAAGTCAGCCGGACCAGAGAAATATTTCGGGATACCCGTAGTTCGACTCAAACGAAAACCGGAAGTTTGACAGACCAAGGGACACAACCCTTGCTTACCTTGGTAAAGCTAAAATAAATCCGGATGAATATGGGAAGGGGATCTATATTCTGGTCTCATATCGATGGATTTGTATGTTATGGTCTTTCATTATTATAATAACATTGTTTTCACTTATTTAATTATTTCTTTGAACAGTTACTTTTTTTTCCTGTTGTTTTTATTCGAGAGAGTAATTTCCAATCGATCTTAGCGTTCTTTATTAAAGTCATTTAAATTTGACAAAATTGTTTATTCTCGGATACAAGAGATTTTAGAAATTTAGATTTATTTTTATTTTCTTTTATCTCAATCTTTCTTTTAAAGAAAAAATACAAAAAGATAAAAGACGCCGATTGAGAAGTTTTTATGTGATCACCAACGGAAGTCTTAATCCCCACTTTATACACATCCAAGCTCATCAGTGTAAATCACGATTAATCTAATTTTTTTTTTTGTAAACATTTTAAATAATTTTTCATAAACTTCAACAATGTATCACTAATTATTTATCGTGGTGATAAAAGATAATCTTAGGTAAACACTCGTGGAAATAGAATGTCATAAATCAATACCTTGGTCAGTGACCGGAAATTTAATTACACGTGTATTGTCAGATTAACTCTTCAATCCATTTAAATCCCGGAGGTCATGTTTTGACATATGTGTATTTGTTTGAGATAAATAATGAATTTTGAATGCTTTTGTTAACCTTGGGACCGTAAATTTAGTTCGACTCAACCGAAATTTCGACTCATCCAATTTGGACTCATCAGGAGTCGAAATACATATATATATATATGGAACAAAGTTCGGGACCACGAAAAAACTTCGACTCATCCGAAATTTCGAGTCAACCGAGTTCGAGACAACGAGAGTTAACTGTATAAATGCATTGTTTTCAGTCCATAGAAAATATTTCCAAAATGTGGATATTCATAGATAAAAGATAGTTTTTTAAACGAGAGGGTGTTTCTGAGCTACAATTTCATCGAAAGTCGATAGCCTTGAGATGAGATGTCATCGAAAGTCGATACCCTTAAAATGATATGTACCCGAAAAACATCGTCTTATGATTTTTATCGCTGTTTTCCTAGGCGACTTCTTTAATGTAGGCTCACGACGTCATACATTCTCTCTATACATGACTGAGAAAAACCCATATAACTCGAGTCGCTTGAGAAGTAAAATTATCACAATTCTTCTTTGAAATAGCGATTACTATTGTTATTAATTTAAAAACATGGGGATTGTTTGTTTTTTTTTTTTATCATTTTTAAGATTTAATACGTTTTCTCATAAGTTATTGGTGACACACGATACGTACGACATAACAGCTTATTTAAGACTAAATGAATTTATATTGACGGTGAGATCAGCAATCGTTGAAGCGTCACATATTGATGGAAACTTTTTAATCTCAATTGTAAGATATACATATTTTGTTTAAGACGAATTATATATATATTATGGTGTAAGACCCGTTCAACCACGTGTTATCCGATTGAGAATGCCATAAAGTTGTCACATGTTTAGACGTGTATATATATAAGTTGTTTTCAATTAGACTTGTTTATATTTTTTCGTTTGGGCTTGTATTATATTTGCCTTCGGGTTTATATGATCCGTTCATCCTATTTTGACTCTTTCAAAATTCAAGAGTCTATCCTAAATTGAGGTAAATTATATGGCCTTCCAAATACCGTTTCGATTCCTAACATCACTGAAGAGACATTAATTGTCGAAATCCGGATATGGTGTATAAATTTTTGCACCTCATGTTTGCGGTATACCATCTTTTCCATAAGTTTATTGTTTTCTGTTTGGTAATAAATTGATAATAAGATCTATTTTGTTACATCTTGTGATCCGTTTATTCGGAAATCGCCAATGGAAGTCAGCAGGGTTTAAGAACATCAGTTGTTCGACCTGCTAGTTAAATGCGTTTTGTTAAAATATACTTTTTCACTCAATTTGGTCTTTTGGAAAATGTTGTTTGTGCTGTATTTAGACCCCTCTACCAAGAAATTTGTTTTGCATGCACACGTATAAAAATTGCGGTTTTTATCCAACGCAATCATAGGTTTGAACGT